CTCTGCAAATTCCATGATGGTTGTTTATTATATCCATTGTCTGATTAGGAATGTATTTCATACCAAGCTTCTTGATCTGTTTTTTAATCTCCTATTATGCTTCAAATATTTTCCCCTGTATCTTTTGCTTTCCTCCTCTTTGATGCTTTATGGATTCACAATTGGGGAGTTTGGCATTTTATTGCCTTTTTCTCATGTTTCTACTGATTTTCATCTTTTGTTGATTTGTTCATAGATTTGTTACTGCTTATAGTTGAAAGATTTTGTTCCTAGTGTGGAGATCTCTTTAGGTAGATGGTGTCTTGCTTATTTTCACGTTGCTGAGACAAAATATCTGACACCCAAAATTAAAGACAGGTTTATTTTTGCTTCAAGTTTACAAAGATTTTGGTGCATAATTGTTTGGCTGCAAGGTAGGGTCACATGGCAGAGGAGCATCACAGAGGAGAACCTATTGAGACTCATTGGTGTCTCCTTGTACCCCAGGGAGAAACAATGGCAGGAACAAGGAAAAAAATACACAAGAGCCAACAGCTGGGTTTAGGTAGAGGTCTGTTTGCCTGATGAGCAGAAGACCCAAAGAACAACAACTGAAGTATTTATTTATAACTCCTACAAGGTTACTATCACCAAACACAAAGTTGCCTAGTTACTAATGGTTGAAATTTTCCGGGCAGGATGTTTTTCTCAAGACTGAGGGGCCAGGGAGATGGCTTAGTGGAATAAGCGCTTCCCTGGCAAGTGCAAGGGCCTGAGTTCAATCCCCGGTTCTGCAAAAAAAAAAGAAGAAGAAGAAGGTTTTTCTCAAGACTGAGGTATCTTGACTGCTTTAGGCCCTAAGGCCTTGTCTTACCTTCCCACATATGATTGGTTTCCAGTTTCAGCCTCTTCCAACAAGAAACAATTCATTGAATGGTTGATAAGAATCAACAAGCAAAAAGCAAAGGCAGCCACTGCAAAAAAAAAAAAAAACCCTCTTGCTGTCCCTTATATCTTACCCAGGGTGGGTAGCATTCACAACCAAGGTAGGGCAGCATCACGTCGTGAGTCAGTTGCAACTTAAGCCTAGAACTACACCATGAATCAATTCCAGCATCATACACTATAGATCCAGCCACCTCTAAAATGCCCCACCTATGACTATATGAGCCTCTAAGGGACATCTAGATTCAAGCCATACCAGTCTGCTATTCAATTTTGCACTCTGGTACAGAAAATGAGTGTAGAAAAAGAAAAGTTCCCAAACCCTATAACTAGTGGGAAAAAAGAGAATATGTCTAAAAACAGAAAAAAAGGGCCAGGGAAATAGCTCAGTAGAATAAGCACTTGCCTGGCAAGTGCAAGGTCCTGAGTTCAATCCCTGGTACCTTGAAAAGAAAAAGAATAAAACATTTCTCTGTATTTCATTATAGATTTAATACTCAAATTCAGCTGCATACCTGGATACAAAGTCAACACTCAAAAATCAATAGCATTCTTGTACATGAATAACAAACTCACTCAGAGAAAAATTAGGCAAAGAAAACCTTTCACATTAGCATCTAAGAAATAATGAGGAATCAATCTAACAAAGAAAGTAAAAGATCTTCACATTGAAAACTACAGTACTCTGAAAAGGGAGATTGAAAAGGACATCAGAAAATACGAAGCTTTCCCCTGCTCTTGGTTAGACAGAACCAACATAGTGAAAATGGCCATACTCCCAAAAGTGCTATCCAGATTTAGTGCAATGCCAATCAAAATACCATTAGCATACCTCATGGAACTAGAGAAAATATTTCTGAAATCCATTGGCAACCAAAAGAGTCCTATAATAGCAAAATCAATTCTGGGCAACAAAGGCAAGTCAAGGAACATTACATTCCCTTACTTGAAATTATACTAGAGAACTACAGGGCCGGCCAAATAGCTCAGCAGATTAAAGTGCCTGCAAGCAGGTGCAGGGGATGGGGGTTCAATCCCTGGGCTTGCCATGCTGGCCCCACCCCTAGGGCATGTGAAGACAGCAGTTGAGACTGGGTGTGGTGGCACACACCTGTAATCCCAGCTCTTTGGAGGCTGTAAACAGGCGGATCTCTATGAGTCCGATCTAATAGTGAGGCCCTGAACACTCTGTAGACACTTTCCTAAAAATACAAAGAGAGAGAGAGAGAGAGAGAGAGAGAGAGAGAGAGAGAGAGCGCTACATTGATAAAAACAGCATAGTATTGGGAAAAAACAGACCCAAGGATCAATGGAGCAAATTAGAGGATGCAGAAACTACTCCAAATACACTCAGCCACCTTGTCTTTGGCAAAAGGGCCGAACACCTTCACCAAAAGAAAGATAGCCTCTTTAATAAATGGTGCTGTGGAAGCAAGCTTTAGACATCACAAACACTAAAACCAGACCCATGTCTCTCACTAAACTAAAATTGAAATGGATCAAAGGTCTAAATATAAAAGCAGAAATACTAAATCTTCAGGAAGAAAGAATGGGTAGAACTCTTCAAGTCACTGTTGTAGGCAAAGACTTTATGAACAAAACCCTGTTTGCAAAGGAACTATCACAAAGAACCAAGAACTGGGATTTCATCTTAGTAAAAAGCTTTTGCACAGCCAAATCAACAACAGAATAAAAAGACAACCAACAGAGTGGGAAAAAATTCAGCCAATTGTTTCCCAAAGGACTAATATGTAAAACATATAAATAATTGAGGGGGCTAAGGGTATAGCTTAGCAGCATTGTGCCTTCCTGCCAAGCATGGAGTCCTGAATTCAATTCCTGGTACCAAAAAAAAAAAAAAAAGAATTGAAAAACTCACACCCTCCAAACTTCAAGAACCAATGCAAAAATGGGCATCTGAGGTGAATACACACTACTCATATGATGAAGTACAAATGACAGGTAAATATATGCAAGAATGTTCAATGTCACTGGCCATTCAAGAATTTAAAACAACACTGAGATTCCATCTCACTACAGAAAGAATGTCTATTATCAAGAAATTAATCAACAGTAAATGCTGGCAGGGCTGTGGGAAAAAAGGAACACTTCTTCGCTGTTGATGGGAGTGTAGACTGGGCAACCACTGTGGAAATCAGTGTGACAATTCCTCAAAAACAAGGATTAAAGGACCCATTTGACCCAGCTATTCTCCTTCTTGGTATCTTCCCAAAAGAATTAAAAGCATCATACCACAGTGACATATACATAACCCTTGTTTATAACAGAACAATTTGGGCTGGGGATGTGGCTCAGTGACACAGCGCCTGCCTAGCAAGTGCGAGGCCCGGAGTTCGATTCCCGGTACCAAAAAAGAAAATAGTAAAAATAAGACCCAAAAAAAAAGTCCCTTTGGGGAAAAAAAAACAAAACAGAACAATTTGTAATAGTCAAATCTTGGAAACAACTCAAAAGGCCATAAATCAAGTAATGGATAAAAGATGTGAGTTTTTTATGCAGTGGAGTACTATTCAGCCATAAAAAAGATAAACTTGAGACATTTATAGCTAAATGGAGGGACCTTGATACCATACTCTTAAATGAAAAAAATCAAACACATGTAAATGTTTCATTGTCTCTGTGGTATGAGAAACTGAAAGTGTAAATAAAAAAGTGTATAATAGATATTGTGAAACAGGAAGAAATTATTCAAAAAGAAAGGAGAACTAGGAAAGGCAGAGGTGGAAAGATAGGAAGGGAAAAGAAAAACTGAGAAAAGAAGGATAAAATAGAAGCAAAGCTTTGTAAATAATTTTGTTCTTCCATAGCTAATATTTGTATGTAAATGCTTTAATGATTATAAGTTGAACTAAATTCATAAATTTTAAATCTTTTTTAATTTAATTTTTTTTAAATCTTTAAATAGTTATTGCCTACTCCTTTCTACTTTGAGAGTTCTAATTATATGAATATAAGTTTCTTGGTTTTGACACAGTGAACTATTATGACTGATCTGTAAATTCTTTCTTCATTTTTATTTTGGACAGTTTTTATTGTTATATTCATTTATGTTTGTAAATAATTTATTTTCAATTTGCAATATATTAAAAATAAAATTAAATAAATAAATAAAAATAATAATAAGGAGGGGTTGAAGGGAAAGAGCGTAGGAGAATGGAGAGCAAAGAGGAATCAAGATCTATCATTTACAGATACAAATTCCCTATGATGAATGTGATGGAACCCCAGCCACTGCATTCTGCCTAAGCAGGCGCTTTAATCCACTGAGGTATCTGGCTGGCCCTAAACTTCATTTTTAAAAAGGAATTTCATTTTACTCAGGTATTACCCAAAATATATTCTTCTAGGTATCTCCTCAAAGAGTTAAAATCATCGTATTACAGGGACACATACATATCCATGTTTATAGCAGCACACTTTATAACAGGTCTTGAAAATATTCTGTATGTCCATAAACAGACGAATGGATAAGGAAAATGTGATATATATATATATGAGCATAACACTGTCATACATAAATATAAACTTGAGACATTCAGTAGGCAAATGGACAAACTTGTGAACATAATGTTCAGTGAAATGTCAGACACAAGTTTAAATATTGTATGGTTTCCCTTATATGACAAACACAATAGGGATAAACAGATAGACAGACAGATAAACAGGAAGCAGGGAGAAGTTCATGTGCTTCCCCAAATTACCTGTTCTGTTGTTTTCAAATATATCAATATATATGCTAATTTTTTTCATCTATATTACTAGTTTATCTTGGTTTGTTGAAAAGAAAGTTTCAACTTGTCTGTTTCTTCTTTGTAACACTCTTTTGTCATCTATGTCTTGTACTCTGAGTAACTACTATGGGAATAATGATACACAGTTTATTAGCTATAGCTAATCTCTTATTTTGTTATGAAATTTTGTTTTATTTTTCATAAGATAAAAAAATCAGTAAAACAAAGTTTCAAATAAAAGGACATATATTTGTTTTAGCATGATGGAGAAAAAAGCTGAGCCTGATTATCCTGTTTTTCTCTTTAATCTCTCATGCTGTGTAGTTCGTCCCACTGATACAAATGTCAGTCCTGCTATTTCTATCCACGAGATTGGTGCTGTTGGAGCAACCAAAACGGAACGAACTGGAATCATGCAGCTAAAAAGTGAGATGAAACAGGTAAAGATGTTACCGGGGAGATTACTTGGGATATTGTCATATTTAAGAACATTCTTTTGGAATTGGGCTTTGTTGGCATCGTTTATTTTTGTATCCTGAGTATAACTAGAACCATTTATTTTTCAGGTGGAATTTCGTAGACTGTCTATCTCAGCTGAAAGTCAGGTGATACTACTAAGGACCCTTTAACATACTTTGCCTGGGATATTGTCATAGCTAAGAATATTTTTTGGAAATCAGACTTTGTTGGGTTCATTCATTTAGTTCTGTATCCTGAGTATAACATGAACCATTTGTTTTTCAGGTGGAATTTCGTAGACTGTCTATCTCAGCTGAAAGTCAGGTGATACTATTAAGGATCCTTTAACATTCTTTAACTTGTCTTTACTTCTACATAACATGCGTAAGCTCACAGCCTGTTTACAAATCATAACAAACAGTGAAGTCATTTAGATAGCTTTCATTTTGCTAGACTGAGCTACTTTGCTAATTTTAGGAGGCAAGTAACTGGCATCATGTAGCAAGAAATTAAAACTCAAGTTGCTCTTATTCGGACTGTCATTCAATTTTGAAATTCATTTCCTTTATTGTAGGGATCTATTGGTCTCTTGGTAGTCCCCAGGAGAAAGTGGGGAGGGGATTGCGTAAATAAAGACAGGAGATAATAACTGAGGTCAGGGGGTAGACCAAGCCTGATAAGCAAAGTGCCCCCTACCCCAAGAATAGTAAGGGCCGTTATTTATACCTTTGCAAAGTTGCAAGACACAAGGTTGCCTAGCAACTAATAGCCCACAAAGTCCAGGCAGGATGTTTTTCTCAAAACTGAGGTAGCTCCACTGCTTTAGGCAACGAGGCCTCATCCTGCCCTCCCACATATGATCAGTTTCAGCTTCAGCCAAAACTTTATAAAACTACAATTAGACTTACTACCTTTAAGGATATGTACTAGTGAGAATATCAAATTGGATGATGGCATCATTTTTTAACCCACTCTTTAAAGTCAGGCATAGAAGGGCTGGCCAGATAGCTCAGCGGATTAAAGCGCCTGCTTAGGCGGAGCGCATCCCCCCCTACCCTCACCTGCTGTGACAATCACGCCCCGGAGCCCGCTGAAAATGGTAATTGAGACTGGGCGTGGTGGTGCGCACCAGCAATCCCAGCTCTTGGAAGGCTGAAAAAACAGAAAGGATCACTACAAGTCCAATACATAGTGAGACCCTGTAGACCCTGTACTAAATACATTTTTTTAAAAAAGTCAGGCATAGTGGCCCATATCTGTGACCCTAGCACCCTGCATAAAACCCTGGTTTGATGCCCAGAACCGAGTAGCTTCTTACTTTTCCCTAAAGGTGACAATAGATGATTCTGCTGCATTATATAAAGAAATAGTTAATACAAACTTCCAAAGTTTCATTTAAAACTCTGGGAAATCATTTGGTTTCAAGATCTTCAAGTTGAGCTAAAGTTTGGTCCCTCCTAGAAGCATATCTTAATGAAGAGCTCTTAGAGTCAAATTATGATAATTTACAGCATTAAAACACATTTAGAAGAGGAGAGGTGAAATACAGATTTTGTTTGCACAGCACTGAGGAGGGTGAGGCATCAAGATTGCTGTGAGAGTGAGGCCAGCTTCACCTACATTGTGAGTTCAAGGTCAGCCTGAACTGTATAGCAACACCCTGTCTCAAAAAATAGGTTTTAGGCCAGGAATATAGCTCAGCACCTAAGCACCTGCCTGTCAAGCACAAGGTCCTGAGTTCAATCCCCAGTACCAAAAAATAACAAAACAAAGGTTATGTTTCTTCTCTTTTTGAAAGGAAGTCAGAAGTCACTTAGAAAGAGAATGAGCCAATGCTTAAAGTTTAGTTTTAAATAAACTTAATTTGTGTACACTCATCAAATACCCTTGACATTTACATTTATGCAAAGCCAAGAGTGGAATTAAAGGCCCTTACGGTTTTTTTAAAAAAGGTATTGTCTTTATAATTTTTCCCAGATAATTAGAATAATCTGAACATTTTATTACTTGAAATGGAAAATAACTTTCAATATTGAATAAAGCTCAATTAATATGCTATTAACACTTGATCTACCTCCATTTAATTTTTTCTACACACACACCATCTGTAGGTCTCAAGGGAAACTAAATCAGTAGGACTATAATCTAGAGAAATGAGAGCCCTGAATTTTCAGTACTTTCTTATTTCAAAATACTGATTTCCATTCTCATGTCCCTGTCTGCTTTCCTATATTTTTTAAGCATTTTTCTTTACAACTTACCAGTGCTTTCTTTTATAAGCAAAACCTTTTTTAAGGTCATTTAACTTATTTTGCAGTTCACCATGACATCTAAAGTGATTTCATCAACCTTAAATGATAGCATGGCAGAAAAAAAATGATAGCATGGCTGGCTAGTTCCTTAAATGATTTATTATTAACTTTTAAAACACAAATGATGGTTGTCTTGCCTCATCCCTTTTAAATTTCTTCTTTTTCTTCTTCTTTTTTTTTCATAGTCCAATGGTGTCCATCCCTCAGGTGTAGATTTGGTGTCACCGTCTTTTCTGGTAACTGCTATTATCTTGTATAAGATATGCTCCATTCACAAGTGATTTGACTAAACTATGGAAAAATATAACTAATCTAGATCTAAAATAAGAATAATCAACTTCATATATGGGGAAAACTATTTCTTTTCCAGTAAAGGAGGAAAAGGAATTTCACTCCAACCTCTTTTCCATTTCAGGAAATAAACTCAGTTTAATAAGTATTTGTTAAGTTTATGTTTATTCATTCAACTAGTGTAATTTATTATATTTTTCTATGCACTAAGCAGTATACTAGACAGTATAAGCATCACCTGGTAATTTATTTGAAATGCTAAGTCTTGGTCCTTGCCCTGGTCTTAGATATACTGAGTTAAAAGACTGAAGGTGAGGCCTAGCAATCTGTGTTTTAATAAGCTTCTTAGGTGATCCTGATATACTTTTCATTCTCAAAACCACTTCTGAGTAAGAATTCATTTAGTAAATCTTAACTGAGTGTCAACTTTATGTCAGGCATTGAAGATACTATAGTGAACAAAATGGATGTGGTCTTTGCCCTCATGAAGCTTACAGTCTAGGAAGACTGGCATCTAGATTTCTTTGGTTTAAATCAATGATTCATAATGGCCTATGATTTCAGATCTCACAGACTGAAGAGCTTTAGGCCAGGTACCATCAAACAAAAAAGGGAAACTATTAGGAACAATGCTTTAGGTGAGCTTTAACCAAACACCCTATAATGAATTAATAACTGTCATATCCACATTAATAGAGGACAGAGACATAAAAGAAGTTTTATCTAAAAGTACCAAACTATCAATATTTGATTTTAGAAAATAGTCTAAATTCTACTCTATTACATACATATACTTTCTGGTTTGCTTTACTGTCATCAGCCTAGGATCTTGGTAGTAGAGATAAGACAATAAAAAGTAGTTAAACATTAGTTCATCTACTTGAAGGACGTGTGTGATAGTCATTTATCAATAGGAGTGTTTTGGAGCACACTTCTCTTTTACATAGTAATGGTTGTAAGGCTATTAAAATGTGAAAACTTCTCAGAATGTGTTTCCATCTCCTACTTTATATTTATTTCTGAATCTAAACTGTCAAATAGCCTCCTTCACCAATGTATTTCTGTTTTATTTTATAAAGAGAGTACAAAATAGTATTAAAGGGGCTGGGGAGATGGCTCAGTGGAATAAGTGCTTCTCTGGCGAGCACAAGGGCCTGAGTTCAATCCCCAGTTCCACCAAAAAAAAATAGTATTAAAACAGAAATATCTCAAGTGACAAAGAATTTCACTTAACAAAGTAATATGAATTTCACAGTATTTCTTGGAATGCATACAGTTGTCTTCCAACCAGTTATTCATATTACCAGATATATGCATGCAAAATTGGAAGAAAGAAAAAGAAAAGAAATAATATGAGGAATAAAGAGGAGAAAAAGGAGAAATAACTTAAAAAATACAAAATAGATTAAGCATTATCTGCTCCTTTCCATAAACTAGCAGAAATCCACAGTACAGTTGTCCAAATCATCCTGTTTGCGAACGTAGATATATTTCTTTCACCCATTCCCCCTGCTGTACTTCTCCTCAACTCAGTAACTCTTTCCTTTTGAATAAGTTCATTGCCTTTTCCCAGTATCTATTGTATCCTTCAGATTCCGCTTTCTCTTTCAGGTTCTCACAGTAAAGAGGCAATACAATGTTTGCACATCTGGGTCTGATTTATTTCACTTAAGAGTATGTTGTCTAGTTGCATCCACTTACCAACAAAAGTCTTAAATTTATCCTGTTTTATAGTTGAATAATACTCCATTGTGCAAAAATACCACATATTCTTTATCCATTCCTCTGTTGATAGGCATCTGTGTTGTTACCAGGATTTAGCTATGACAAATTGCACTGCTATAAACGGGTGCACATATACCACTGTGGTATCATGTTTTCATTTCTAATACCCAGGAGGGGAATAGCTGGTTTGAGTGGGATCTCCAATTCTAGCTTTTGAAGGAATCTCCACCCCAATTTTCATAGTGGTTGTACCAGCCTGCACTCCCACCAACAGTGGAAAAGGGCTCATTTTTCTCCACAGCCTCTCCAGCATTTGTTATTGGCTGAACTTCTTGATGTTAGCCATTCTTTCTGTGGTGAGATGGAATCTCAGTGTTGTTTTAATTTGCATTTCTCAAATGACTGATGATGTTGAACAGTTTTTCATATATTTACTTGCCATTTGTATTTCTTCCTCTGAGAAATATATGTTCATCTCAGATGCCCAGTTTTGGATTGGGTCTTTGAACTTTGGGGGACTGATTTTTTTAATTCTTTATATGTTCTAGATAGCCTTTATATGAGGGACAGTCAGCTATAATTTTTCTCCCAGTTTGTTGGTTTTCTTTTTACTCTGTTAGAAATTTCCTTTGAAGTGCAAAAAGTTTTCAAAATGATAAGATCCCAGGGCTGGGCAAATAGCTCAGTAGAATAAGTGCCTGCCTGGCAAGCGCAGGGTCCTGAGTTGAATTCACAGTACCACACACACATACAAAAAAAATAAAAAAATTAAAAAATGGGATCCCAGTTGTTGATTCTTTGAAGTATTTCCTGTGCAGTTTGGTTTTTGCTCATGAATCCTCTACCTACTGCTATGTCTTTAAGATTTGTAGCTACATTTTCCTTCAGAAGATTTAGTGTTTCTCTTTTAATATTTAAATCATTGATCCATTTTGACTGCAGCTTTGTGCATGGTGCATGGGTCTAGTTTTAGCCTTCGTCATGTAGAAAGCCACT